CACACACACACACACACACACACACACACACACACACACACACACACACACACACACAAACAAGTATGAAGATGAAAGACGGACACAAAGACTGTATAAGCTGAAGATCTGAAGTGAAAGGAACAGGAGTATAAAGCTCTGAAGAGAAATGCACAGGAGCATACCTTCCCTTTTACTCTGCCTCCTGAAATAACGTGCAAGTGGGCCGTGAAGGCACACGGGGATGTGGGCAACTGCCGCTCAACCACAATCAACGTGGGCAGCCTTGTGCGTAAGAGGCACAGTAAAAGGGGAGCTGCAAGAACAATGGAAGGGGTACCCCAAGGACAACCAAAAAAATGTCTAATTATAAAATTGCTATGTTGGACTGTCTCATCTCAAATGCTCTCGTTGTCTGCAATAGGACAAAGACTGCTTTGATTCTGAATCTATTCATCTGGGTGGAATTGGGGCTGTTCTGGGGAAATCTATCATCTATAAAACACACACACACACACACACACACACACACACACACACACACACACACACACACACAGGTAAATAGAACACAGAAAGCTGCTAGGACTTTCTCTAGCAAGCTGCGGACGTGATTGCCACCAGAATCACCCAGGCCTAACTGTTGAGTATGCCCTACTTGAGAACAATAAGTCAGTGAGTGCAAGTAAGCAGAGTAAGTTGCCTGCTGGGCTCAGACTAAGCACTAAGACATTCTAGGCTAAACTTACAAACATCTAAGAACCAAACTAGTACGAGAGTACTTAGCAAACGATTGAGAACCAGCCCACCATAGTAAGTACTATACTGGGCTCCGGCAAAGTACTAAGCAGTCTGGGCTAAACTTACACACATCTGAGAACCAACCCACGAGAGTACGGTACTAAGTAGTGTGCCGGGCTCAGAGTGAGTACCAAGTACTCATGGCTAAACGTACAGCAAACAACAGAGAGCCAACCCCCCAGCATATCAAGTACTCTGCTGGGATCAAATGAAGTACTCAGCAGTATGGGCTAAACTTACACACATTTGAGAACCAACTCACGAGGGTACGGGCAACAGAAAATTCATTAACTGAAATTAAGCTTAGAAGTTCAATATTCAGTTTAACTTCAATGTTTTCCGCTCCACAATCGACTTTCGGTTTTAGTGTATGCTTGGTACTTGCCCTGCTTCAATTTAAACCACCAGTACTTGGCCCACCTTGAGAAACAAAATGCGGCTTGTTTACGAGCACATGTTTTGGGGGGTCTGGGAAACAACCGCCCGGTCGCTGCCAACTTTCGAAAAAAAAAAAAAAAAAAAGAGGAACTTAAGAAAAGCAAACGAGATTCTACCTGGGGAAAAATTAAAGACATTCAGTCAATCCCCTTGTCGGAGGGCAATCAATACTGCCAGTCAGCAGCAATCTGCATGCTTTGATGACCTTCATAATGTTCAGGGACGCTGCACCGGATTTCCAGCAGGTGTTGCTCCCCAACAATAGACGGAGCCTCCCTGGGAGTACTAGCGGTGTCTGCTCTTA